CCAGGCCCGAGCACGTGGCACGAAGGCCAGGCCCGAGCACGTGGCACGAAGGCCAGGCCCGAGCACGTGGCACGAAGGCCAGGCCCGAGCACGTGACACGAAGGCCAGGCCGACCGAGGCAGCGCCCGACCCAGCCCTGCAGCCGACACCCTAGTCCTCTGCGAACATGCTGCGGCCTCGGGGCTGTGTGGGCAGCGGGCCGGCCTGCTGGTGGTCTGTGAGTGCGGACCAGCTGGACCCTGGCAGCATTGCTAGACCCGAGTGAGTGGCCACTCAGCAAGGGGCGGGAGGAGAGGTGAACAGGGATGGTGCCCAGGTCCAGGGCCTCTGCCACGCCAAGCCACGGAGAGCTCCGAGCTGGTTGGTGAGAAGGTCACTGGTGGTCGCACCTTCAAAACTGATGCTGGACCCTCAACCAAGGCAGATGCTGCTGTCCAGCCCCACGAAGTCTCTGTTCTTCTCCCTGCCCATCCCCATACTGTCCCTGTGTCCTGATGTCCAGCAGACCCCAGGACAGTAAGTGTGCAGGGAGCAGCCCTACCAAGGCCCACATCTAGCACAGCCAGTCCTCAGTGGCCATTCACAGCCAGCTACAAGACAGCCTCAGGACGACCAGAAGACACTTCATGCTGCTTTTTCTCCTCCTCCTTCTTTCCTCCTCCTCCTCCTTCCTCCTCTTCCTTTTTCTATCATGGGGCTTGCACTCAGGGCCTGGGCACTGTCTCTGAGCTTTTTCACTCGAAGCCAGCACTCTACTATTTTGAGCCACAGCTCCACTTCTGGTTTTCAGGTGGTTTATTGGAGATAAGAGTCTCATGACTGGGGCTGGGAAGGTGGCTCAGGGGTACAGCACTTGCCTTGCATGCATGAGGCCCTGCCTGGGTTCGATTCCTCAGCACCACATAAGCAAAAAGGAAAAAGCCGGAAGTGGCGCTGTAGCTCAAGTGGTAGAGCGCTAGCCTTGGCTGAAGAGCTGAGGGACAGCGCCCAGGTCCAGAGTTCAGGACCCACGACTGAACCAAAAAAAAAAAAAAAAAAGTCTCATGACTTTCCTGCCCAGGCTGGCTTTGAACCTCCATCCTCAGCCTCCTGAGTAGCTAAGATTACAGGTATGAGCCACCGGCACCTGGCTTGATGCTCCTTCACCATGTCCTTGGCCTGATGGCTATAATTATTTACCCATGAGTCCTGGAACTGGTAGACCCTGTTGGCCAACAGAAGGGGAGGGAAGAGAGAATGCCAGAATGCAGCTTCTTGAGGGACAAAGGCATTCCCCCCACCCCCCAGGGAACAGGGGGCTGCCTGGCTTGGGAGAGTTTAGGACCCCAGACCCCAGGGGCTGGGAAAGGGGAAGGGGGCCACCCTGGGGCAGAGCCAGCGCCCTTCCAGGTGTGCTCATTCCCACTCGCTGCCCCTGCAGCTGCCATCCACACCATAGGAGGAGGCTGGGCCCTGCCCATCAGGAAGCTGATGCTGAAGACCAGGCCTCAAGGGAGCTGCTGACCTGCCGCGCTCCCCCAGCCCAGGCCCGCGCCCCCCCACCTCGTGTCCTCCAATAGGGCTGCCGGAAGGCAGGTGCTTGCAGGCCTGGATCCCACCAGACATGCCACCCCTGCATCCTCCGAGGAACGCACCCGAGGCCCTGCATAAAGGTGATGCACATGCTCAGCGCCACGGGGCCCAAGGGTGCCCTGGCTCCACCCCTCATCCCCCTGGCTGCTGCCTCTGCCTTGCACCCTGTGGTACTCCCAGAAAATTCCTGGATACAGATCCATGGCCTGCGTCAGCTCTGTTCACCTTGGGAACTGTACAGGCCCTCCTAGGTCACACACAGCCGTCTCAGCAGGGACTCAGCACACAAGGACACAGGGATGGGCGGAGCCGTGAGAACTGAGGGAAGGCTGGTCTGGAGGCACAGAGTGCGTGTCAATCCTGTGAGGGGCATCAGGATCAGGCAGGGTGGGAGTCCTGCCCTGTCCAAGTCCCCCTGGAGGTGCACACTCTCAGACCGCAGAGCCCCCTCCCCCAAATCCCTAAGAAGTCAGAGGCATAGCCAACTAGGTGGCTGGGGAACTAGTATTCTGCCAGAAAGCCTCCAGCCTCTGAGGGAGAGGGCTGGCCATTGCTTGCCACGGCTCATTGGGGAGGAGTCTCCAGGCCCAGGAAGGACCCCGTTCACCTTCCGAATCCCTGCACCGTCTCCACACCCAGTATGAAAACAGGCCCCAGCATCACTCCCAGGCCTAGCTCTTTCCCTGGGGCCTTGGAGCCTGCTGCACTCCAGTGGTGTACATTCCAGGCCAGCCATCTGCTCACTGGCCCTCAGGTCTACACTAGGCCCTGACCTCCTACCGGGAAGACTACCGAGGAATTTCCAGTGGGGCCCTGAACAGCTGTAGATGGACGCTCTATAAAGAGGGAGCTAGTGACTGAGGGTGTAGGGACCGCTGGGACACAGGACAGGCTCCCATCTCCCTCCTGAGAAATGAGTCACTAGTGGGAGGAGAGAGGGCCCGGCCTCCACAGCCTGCAGAGCCCATCCTGGGCACAGCCACAACCGGCAGACCCGGGGCCGAACAGGAACCTCAGCCAAGCCTGTCCGATGGGCGCAGGGCTCCTCCGAGTTGGAGACACCCTAATTGCCACCTGCTCAGGCTTCAGAGCCAGGGGCACCCCAGATGAAAGGGACAGACCGACTGGGAGGCGGCAGGACGGCGGACAGTCACAGGTCCCGGGGACACTGGAAGTTAGTCCAGTAGCAGCAGGGTGCCCAGAGCTCCCGTGGGGCCCAGGAGGTGTCGCACAGCTTTGGGGGTGCAGAGCCCACTTGCCTGGGGAAAAGGGGGTCCCACATACCTCTGAGTGACAAGGCTTGGAGACGCTGGCACCCAGGCTCTGTATCCACTTGCTGGGCCCACAGAGGGGTCACACCAGCCAGAGGAGACACTGAACCCGGGAAGCCGGGGGACCTGGGGTCTGGGCACCCACCGCAGCCCCGCGTGGGCATCACCACAGAGGCGGTCTCTGCCACTCCTGGGCTGGGTAGAAGGCCAAGAGCGGGCCATCAACAGCCCAGGGGCCACAAGCAGAGCCTCACTAATGGCCGTGGGGGTCTGGGAGGTGGAACCATCACCTCACTGTCCACAGAAGCCAGCCCTGGCTCTATGAGCCTCAGTTTCCCTTCTATGCCAGAGGTAATGAAATGAATGCTTCTCCCTGGGGGTCTTGCTGGCCTGTAACATTGCCATTCACGACCGCTCTGGGGCCCTGCTGGCCATACCCCATCCCGCCCCCCCCTTCCCTCTACCCCCCACCTTGGGTTCCCACTCAGAAACAAGCCTGCAGTCAAGGGGGCCTCAGAAGCTGCCTTTCTGGGGTGTTTACAGCCCCTCCCCTGCTCTGGAGGAGGAGGAAATGAGGTTGGTGGGCCTGTTCGCAGGTAGTTGAGACAGCCTTCGAATAACCATATAAAAGGGCCGGAGGCTGGGGCTCCACCCCGGCAGGATGCCCTTAGCACAGCCCCCTGGGAATCTCACACTCTATGGCTTTGAAGTCCCAAAGGGGGTATAGCCAACCCCCCCTTGGGGCCTTGCCGGCCCTCCCTGTCTCTGACACCCCTCCCCTGAGCTCCCCCTTTCTGGGTCCTAGGGCCTCAGTTTCCTCTTTAAGGATGAGCCCAGAGGCTGTCATCAATGCCTGGCATCTCCAGGAAACTTGGAGTTGTTGTTTGGGAGCCTTGGGGTAGCAGGTGTGGAATGGCTCTGGATCTTCACATAGGAGCGGGGGGGGGGGGGGGGGCACCGCCACCTGTGCACACTTAGACACAGTGGCAGCGTGGACAGAGCAATTGCAGAGCAAGAAGGAGACCCAGTCCCCTGGCCCCAGGAGCTCGTCAAAGCCTCTAGGGATACCTAGAGCAGCCAGGAATCTGGAGCAGTCCCTGGGGCCCTCCTGAGAGGTGATGCCCAGAGCTGACTCCTGGTGTAGAAGGCTAGGGAGGGAGTGAATTGGAATTTGCTGGTTTCACAGGCCCACTGATCTGAGGACCAGGATGTTATAGCATTGATGCCAGGCCCAGTTTGCCAGGGAGTGGATTGCCAATTCTGAATCCCAGCAAGGCCATCCTGGCTACAATGATCCACCAAGAAAGTAGCCCCATGGCCTCTCTCCGCAGAACGTAGTCCAGAGGTCCTTCAACGCCTCCCCTGGCTCGTTCACTAGGGCGTCTCACCTGCAGTGGTGAGCATGCTCTGGAGCTGGACTTCATCATCAGGTCAGGCTCAGTGCTGGGCAAGGCTCAGCCCCCCGGTGGAGGGCTCACAGAGGGGCTGTGGGACCCAGTGTCCTCCCCTCTCCATCCGGGGACCGGCCATGGTCCCGGCCTTCTGCCCTCCTGCACTGTTCACCAGGGAGCTGACACTCCTTCCACCTGCCCAGCGGGGCACAGAACGTAGCCCGGTCTTGGAGTGTCTGGTACCTGGCTTCATCCTAGGGCTGTGGGGATTTGGTCCTACAGTAGGGCCCAGCCTCCCTTCTTCCCTCCCTCCGTCCCTCCAGCTCTTCCTTATAGCCACACCCCAGCCTCCCAGACCCTCACAGTAGCTTCCCCTACCACCTGGACGGGTGCTGGCATGGATTCCCCATTCCTTTCCCAGAAACCCTCTCTAGGGGAGAGGGAGCGACACACTAGGAGATCACAGCCTCATCTTGAACAATTCCTGTCCTCCAGGACTGGAGAAGGAACTTTGTCTACCCCCCTCCCCCTGCACTAGCCCAGCCACCTGGACAGAGATATATTCACCCAGAATTCAGCCTCAGTCTGGAGATCTGAGTCTTAGGATGCTGAATTTTCAAGGTGCTATTCAAGGCTTTTCTCTGGGTTACCAGGTGGGCTTCTGGGAGTAGGCAATGGGGTGGAAGTGGCTGTTTCTGTGGCCCTGACATCCTCCTATAATTTTGGGATGCCATCCTTGCAGTGGCCAGGGAGGGGCCTGGCAGCCTTGGAACCTGGTTGCCCTGCCCTGCCCTGCCCTGCCCTGGGACAGGAGCTACAAGCTGTCAGAAGGTGTTAATTGCTGTTTAGCTCTGAGCCGGCTTCTTGCTCTTGTTCCCCCCCCCCCTTCTTTTTATTTGAGCTTCTAGAACTCATGGTAA